AGACAAGAGCCGTAATCTGAAGAAACTCTAGCAACTTATCGTACGTTGGAGACTCTTTAGAGAGCCCTAGCTTTGTCTCCCATTCAACTACCATATTCGGACTCAGTTTATTGAGTGTAGCTGTAACAAGCAGAACATCAGAATAACTTACAGGCGATTTTAAAGCTCGGAGTGCATCGAGGGCATTTGTATTAGTCGCGAGCAACTTCCATAACTCAGTTGCAGATTCATCTGAGACTCGTGGACCAAAGATAATTTGCTCGGTATATTTTCTTATTAAAATTATCGGGTTATCATATTTTCGAACCAAAAGATCCCAAGCTGGTTGGAAGGTCTTACTCGTGGGTGGAAGACTGTCTATAAGATTTCTTGCTTCTCCTGAAAGTTGTGTCTTCAAGTAATACATTTTGCTGATAGGATTCAAGCTTGGATTGCTGCCAACAACAGCTAAGAAGAGATCTCGGAACGTCACTCACTCTAAAGCATCTTCTAAGAATCCTGGAAGCTTGATCTCTGGCAGTTTGTGACTTCTTCTAAAGCCACTTGCACCGACTACTGAAAGGTTTAACAGGTCCTGACCACTTAGAGTCCTAGCTGCAAGTAAAGTCTCTTTTCTCTCAAACAAAAAAACTCGAGCATCCTCATAAAAGAGTTCCATTCGCTGATAAACATTCTCAGAATGATAATTTGTCTCAAGAATGTCACTTTCTCCATCATATAATAAATTATGCAACATGTCAACCTGCTTCCATTTTTTGTCAATCAAATCCAATTGACTTGACACAAAAGGTAGACTCATTACAGATAGTTTCTCAGGGGTCAGCTGATTCTTCAGTACTTCAAAAAAATGTAGACGTTGCATTTGAAGAGCAATCTTGTATTTGAGTTTCGCAGCCATTTTGATTTCTGCCTAGAAAATGACAAATTTACTTATCACAAATTGTCTTTGTCTTGGAAAATGCACGTTAACTCAAGATGACTGCCTGATACAACGCGTGGTGAATAGCGTCACAAAGAAAATTATTCTTAAAACTTATTTACTGCACTTGTCGTTGGTTCAGCACCTTTAATTGCACTCGTACAACCTCTCTGTAACTCATTTAATTCTGTAGACAATCTCAAATACTAGTAAACTTTCAATTTTTTCCACTCGTTATTGCAGAAAAACTTCACGCTTACTTTCTCCTCAAGATCTCTGAAGCTAGTGGTGATGGCCCAAAAAGAGAGGTTAGATTATCACCCCCAAATTTGATTAGTCACTCACTTCGCTTTGATTGGCGAATAATTCCTCTTGCTAATGACATCTTAAACAATAATTGGCTCTCCAAATTACTAGATAGTGACTTGTGAAAAACAATTAAGGCCGGTTTTAATTTATTGAATCATTATAACTATGATTATGTTCGATAAAAATAAACAGAGTATTGTTACAAATAACTTTACATAAGAAAAAAAATTTTATATTGTTTATAAAAATAACAACTCGTTATGAACAAAAAAAACAAAAAGAAAACAATCACAAATTTCAATAAAAAGGAAGTTTGTCGTCAGGAAATAGATTGAAGATTTAGAGGTTTTAATTGATTGAAAAAAAAAAAATTTCATTTTCCAGTTCTCGAATTGTTCTCCATGAAATTGCAACAGATTACATAAGAGTGGTTGATACTTACAATTGATAGGCAGATGATGATACTGAGGACTTCATCAGGTCAATCTCAACGAAACGGGATCTTATAATGTCTTGATTTGAGCACAATTTATACAATCGAGCATGTTCTAGCATAAATTATGCTCGAATCATAATTTTGCCTAGTGCATAAGAAAGCTCTCGCTCTAACGAATCCATTGATATGCTCATTGTCTATGTAGGCCTCATAGATCGTGAGATATCAGCAGAAAACAAAGTTATGCTGCACCAAATCATAGAAAAACCTTTAAACGCTCATAACTCGGAAACTATGCGAGATACGGCATTTTTGACGGGGATATCCTATAGGGGGGATCGAATTTTTTACTTAGGTCCAGATCTTTCATATGAGCCCTCGATCAACCCCCTAGCATCATTAGCATAGAAGTTATGCATATTTTTTATGTATTACAGTTTTTCCCAAATATCTCGTGATTTCTCCAACCAATCCAAGTCAATAGCTACTGTTTTGGAATCGTCTCATCAAGATCTTCCCAATGACACCCATAATTTTATGATCCAAGCATAAATTATGACTTTGAAAAATTTCGATGAAAAACACAAGTAAATTGGTCGGGTACAGTTTCGATCAGAGGACACTTCCAAAAATAAATTATTTTTCCTGGATTACATTCAAATATTGAATCAATTTATTTAGGTCGTATGAATGACGACACAGGTGAAGAGGAAAGCCACGTTTGATGAATCTCCATGGACAACATTCAAAGCATAATGTATAGACTGATCAGATATCTCACTTGTAAAACAGCGAACGCGTAACTGGAAGCTCCAGATTCGACTTCCGGTCTCGACAAAATATATTTTTTTCTTCTCTGATTACGGTAGCAAAGCGTTGCTCTGATGTCTCTACAGCTATCAAGTAATCTCTGGAATCATAGAGAAACCGGAAAGTCTTTCCAGCTTTCGGGAAATGGACATGAGTAATTAAGTATGGCGTTCTTGGATTAGCATAAAAGAATTGTGTAATATTTTCTCGGTCATCATTCCAAGACACTAATCTACCACGATCATCATAGAAGTACCAGACCTGGAACTTCTTGTGCTCTGATGCATGAATCAATTGTCCTCGTGAATTGTAGCGATATTTGTGCTCTCCTCTGATTACCACAAAGCCTCGACTATCATAAGAATTGAACTCAACGTCACCGAATTGGACAACTCGATCACCAGAATCATAGCCAAGTGAAATCTTCTCATTGTGTTCAGTGATACCAATGACATTACCATTCTCATCATAAGCATACTGCCAATTATTTTCAGTATCAGCAACCTCTAATACATGACCATCAGCATTGTAAGTAATTTTATCCATTCTCGACAAAATATATTTCTCGCTAAGAATCATTCCTGGACTGGTAGAGGATTCGTCTGTATGTGTTCAAAAATTAGCAAAGTGGAGGTTCCCCCTATCCAATTACTTTCATAATCCTCAACAATTCTCCATATCTACTTAATTTTCATTTCTTTTTTATTTTCTTTTAGATTTCTATTCGTTCTCTATGTTTGTTTCACATTATATTCAGACTCAACATAGAGGAATGATTAGCAAAGTGAAATGATCAAGAAAATGTTTCAATTTATTAAAATAATTTTAACAACGTTTCTTGTACTTCTTGGTCATCAAATTTCTGATTAATTAATGCATAAAAAATTGAAACTCTTTAATCTAATGGATAATTTGTCGTTTTAAATTTTTTCCTGCTGTTCCACTTTACCCCCTTTTTCCCTACTTTTATTTCAAAAATTGGGTAAATTTTTTCTTATGCAAAAATAAGGACCAAGAATTCCAATTTCTTTTGTCGAATCACGATTTTGCAATAACACAGCTGTGTGAAAAATAAAAGAAATTGCATCAAACCAACGCTGAAACTTACCTTAAGACATCAACAACTCCATGGTTCTTTGTTAGAGTAAAGTTCCGTACTATTAAGCTCAATTATAAGAAAATATGCAACGAAATTAAGCAACCCTTAAAGAACTTAGAAAAGTAGATAAGGGATAGTAGATTAATAACACATTTTTTGCATTTTCATCGATATATTTTTATTGAATACTTAGCATGTAAGAGTATAGAATATGTTTACTCATATTAAATATTACATAGTTCGTTACAATGAATAATGATCAGTTATTTAATTAACTAATTAATAATCAATTATTACAATCAATTAATAATTAATCAATTAACTTGAGAATAATTATAGTGAACTCACTATATTATTTATCCATTCATATTGTTTTGTTATCCTTTCTTGCTGCTTTTGTCATTATTATTATTATTATTTCAAATAAATTTATTTAATTATTTACACAATTATTATTTGTATTTACAATTGCTATTACTTCTTTATATAACTAAATATTAAGTTCTTTTATTCATTCTTTCATTCATCATTTTATGCTCAATTTAATTAGATTTCTTTAAAATATCACGTAAAAAAAATGAAGAAAATTTTTTCTATTGTTTATTATTTTAAAATAAACATTTATGTTTTATTGTTTGTCTGATTAAATTTTATTGTTTATTATTTTTCATACTCTCACGTACGCGACCAGCACACACATGCATAAAATTACTCATCAATTAATGTGTTACCAAATTTTTGTTATACTTATAATTTTGTATTATTATATAAATAAAATCTTTTAAAAAATAATATAATTTGTACACACTTTCTCTCACTTTTCACACCATGTTTACCTATAAAGTATTGCTTTTTATTTTTCATTCTTAACATTCTTGTTTTTTTTTCGCAGGACGAAGATTAGTTTTATGTTCATAGATTCAGTAAATTTTTATTTTTGTCCTTATTGATTATAAAATCAATAACTATAAATAGTAATTTATACACAATTTTTATAATTTAAATAAAAAAAATCATACATATATAAAATTAATCTTATCATCTATACTTAATTAATAAATATTTTGTGGGAGTCGCGTGTTTTTATGATTAAAGTTGATTTTTTTTTAAAGAAAAAAAAAACAAAGATAGTCAAAGCTTTTGTTGTTGTTGTTGTTGTTGTTCACGAAATGTATAATTTATGTAATTTTATAATTTGTTGTTCGCAAATATTTGTTGAATATTATTTTTTTTTCTTTCTTTATAATTACATGAATATATAATTTTTATAAGCTTTTTCTCTCTCCCTTTTTTAGCGCAAATTTTTTGAAATATTATCGCGCTTTTGACATTTTTAAATAAAAATAATCATTAGACACGTGTGAATTATTTGCAACATTTTTTTTTTAATGTAATAATAATTCACACGTAAAACTAATAGGGAATTGTTGTTTCTAATTATCAGTTTACAATTGGCAGTTATTAGATTCATCGATATGTACAGCAATAATATAATAATTAAGTAAACTATGACATATTGTTGGAGTGTATGATTATGTATTGTTAATTAATAAATGCTCATATTCTTTTTTTTTGTCTTCCAGTATTTTAACTGCTCTACAATTAATAGTATAAAATAAATAAAAAAAGAAAGATTAAAATCCATAAAAAAAATATGGAATATAACAATCACTGTAAATAACACCAATTTTCTTGGTGACATCAATTAAACATATTAACAAGAATTCATAATAAATGTACAATTATTTAAAGATATTCAGGTTGTAATATAATTATTAATTAATTCATTAATAATTTTTTTTTTAACACGCGACACAAAAAAACTAGTCCAGTGAAATTAGAGTTTAGATAGGGAAATCGGTGGAGAAAAAATGTGCTCCAATCTTGGAAAAGGGTAAAAACAACCCCTAAAAAGTGTGTTTTTAAATTATTTCTAGAAATATGCGGAATAAGGAATAATTTTTTATACAAAAATGGTATAAAATGTGCACATCACCTTTTCACCCCTATCTTTTTTTACTTTCGGGGATGATTTCTCTCCAAACTATTAGAGATAGGGGTAAGAAAGTGGTATGCAATTTTTTATAGAATTAAAAAATTTACAATTTTTGTTTAAAAAATTTTTCCATATCTCGCATATTTCTGGAGATAATTTGAAAAACCAACTTTCAAAGGATTATTTCAACCCTTTTTTATTTATCAGAATTATTTTCAGTGACTTTAAGAAAAATCCCTCCAATTTTCAGCCATATTTACTGATTTTCCGATATTCCAACTCTAATTTCACTGGACTAAAAATTGCATATATCTATAGCGATTATTTACATTCAATCTATGACAAATTTTATTTTGTCTTGCATTTGCCTATATGTTTATTTTTTTTTTTTGTTCAGTTAATTAACTTGTTTATTATTTAAACATATGTTTTACATATAAAAAAGCATTTTATTTATTTATTTTTATTCATAATTATTAATATCAATTACCTAAATATCACTATCTACATATACTATTTTTAATTAACTTATTTTTAAATATTTACAAATTATTTTTTTTCATTCCATCATCAATTCTAATCTGTATCCCTTCATTAATTCATTATCATCTTTTTTAAAAAATAGCTTCCATTCATTCAATTTAATTTAATTGGTTTTGGACGATTACGTCTTGGACTTGACGAATTATTATGTTATCCATGTCCACTAGACCCTGTTGCGTGCGTTTTATTTATCTCAAAATAATTTCTTTATTTTACCATATTTGTTTTTCATCAACATTTTCTTTCACTACATTTTGAGTTTAGTTATCGTATTACCGCACATCAACACACAAAAATACACGTCCATTTCTTTATTTAATTTTAATTCCATTTTCAGGCATAGTTTATAACTGATTGTCCTGAAAAATTTTATAAATGGCGCTATTAAGAGTTCATTGAATTTTAAAGACTAGTTAAAATTTTGACACTTTCCTTTTTCACAATCACTTTTAAATAGATTTCTTATAATCACTAGAATCACGATCAAAGCCTATGGCACCATAAAACTCGTCGAAATTATCGAAAAAGCTCAGTTCATTATTTGGCTGAATTCAATCACGAGTTGTGCCTGTGTCCACGATTCCTTCTATTACCACTCTTCCTTCTTTTTCTTTTGGTATCTCGAGTGAAAGCAACATTACCAGGATCATCAGCAAGTTGAGGATATCGATGAACACTATGAATATCAACACCTTCATATCCATCAACAGTTCCTCTACTTAGTAGCTGATCTTTCTCTTCCTTTGACCAGTCACCACGACCCTGGAACCCAGACATTACCAATTGCTTTTCAATCTCCCAAGCTCTTTCAACAGCTCGTTTGTGTGCATGCTTTAAAATTCGATGTCGTTCTTGTTCAGGGTCTGCACCGTATTTGATAACAACGGCGGCATCAGGATTATGAAGTCGTAATTCTTTCCATGTTCCAGATCCATGCTCTGTTGTTTCGTGTGTTGATACATTAAACATTCCTCCTAGTCGTTTTAGCTCTTCCATATCATCTCTCATCTTCAGTGCATTATCTTTGACAAAGTAAAAGACATCTTGGTCATGGACACTGAAGTGTAGTGGAAGGAAATAGGAATTATTGAACACAGAAGTCACTACATCTTGGACGACATTATTAACACCATCAACAACACTAACTAATGCACGACCACCAACTCGTGATACTAGAATACCTTCACCGAAAACTGCACGTCGATGAGCAACTCTTGGAAGTAAGTTTCTGGTTTTCGGTTCAAGTTTGAGTAAAGGTTTAGGCACAAAGTCTAGGTCTGAGAACTTCTCGTGAACTCGGTTGACAATACACTGAAGTCCAGACATAACACCAAAGTCTGGAGTTAGTTGAGGTGATGTAATGATAGCACTAGGTTGGTAGGCCATTGATTTAATATACTTAGAACCAAGCATGAGAGGAATATCAAAGCCAAAGAGTTTCAACCAAGAGCTCATGTCAGTCATGTATTCAACATTTTGCTTGGGATTCACTGGATCATTGTTATGGAATCGATAAATAAAAACATCAGTTGGTGTTGTTAATTGATTCACCATTTGTTCCCAAGCAGGAGTCATCCACTGGCCGACTGTTGGATCATACAATCTGTTGTTTAAGTAGACCAACTTAGTTGTAGGGTCTAATAAGCCTCCATGGAAGTCAATTGGTAGATAGAAGTCAGGATTAGTGTCTTTGATAATTTTTCCAAAAGGTGTTCGACGCATTTCCTTCACAAGATTTCCATTGGTATCAAAGAGAGCCAGTGGTGAACCATTTTGATCAGTTGCCACATAAAAGCGTTGCTCTGATGTCTCTACAGCTATCAAGTAATCTCTGGAATCATAGAGAAACCGGAAAGTCTTTCCAGCTTTCGGGAAATGGACATGAGTAATTAAATATGGCGTTCTTGGATTAGCATAAAAGAATTGTGTAATATTTTCTCGGTCGTCATTCCAAGACACTAATCTACCACGATCATCATAGAAGTACCAGACCTGGAACTTCTTGTGCTCTGATGCATGAATCAATTGTCCTCGTGAATTGTAGCGATATTTGTGCTCTCCTCTGATTACCACAAAGCCTCGACTATCATAAGAATTGAACTCAACGTCACCGAATTGGACAACTCGATCACCAGAATCATAGCCAAGTGAAATCTTCTCATTGTGTTCAGTGATACCAATGACATTACCATTCTCATCATAAGCATACTGCCAATTATTTTCAGTATCAGCAACCTCTAGTACATGACCATCAGCATTGTAAGTAATTTTATCCATTCTTGACCACTCTTCTTTGTCCATTGATTCTTTACCAATCGTCAATTTCCTCATCTTGATTCTATTTCTGTTATCGTACTCCAACTCCATCCGGTAGACAGTCAATGACCGAATATTCATCAGAACACTCTTTATCCTTCCATGTTCATCATAATCAGTAACGGTGAAGAATTGTTTGGTAGTATCTTGCATCACTGATCTGTTGAAGGTATTACGATAGATTCGAAGATCAGCAACACTCTCTAGCACGCCAAGGTTTTGGTTGTATTTAAGAATAAGTTTCGGCAACTGTTTGTCGTTGATTTCAACATCAATGGTTGATACTCTAGCATTACCATCATATTGAATTCGATAATGAGCATTATCCATGCCGCTTTTGCTTCCAAATTTAATCTTCTCTTCTTTAACGATACCTGCATGGTATCTGTACTCAATTCTCATCTCAAAGTTGGGCTCGTTGATGTCAATGCTGTGCACTAGGCTCGTAGCCTCTTGGTAAGTGTAGTGAATTGATGAAAGACCTGACAATGAATAAAAAATAATTAAAATCAAGAAGAAAGGTAAATAATAATAAGATATATTAGAATTGTTTGAATAACTCACCAGCAAAAGTAGTTTCCAATTTTCCTGTGTGATCATAAACATAAGACACTTTGCCACTTTGGTGTGGATAAACTTTGGCCAAAATCTGTCCGTCATCGTTGTAAAGAATTTCGTAAGGATGTCGATTCATGGGAGAATAGTATTGATATTTGTAGAATCCAAGAGAAGTCTGCAAAGAGAACGCATGAATGTGTCCTCTAGGCGTGGTGAGCGACTGCAGCGCTCCAGCCTCATCATATTGCAGAAGATAATCACTGCCCCTTGGAGTAGTTACTTTAAGCGGAAGACTACTAAACATGTCTTTGAAAGCATAAACCATTGCAGTACCGTCTGAGTATTTAATCTCAAATAGTCTTCCAGCTCTATCGAATCCATAAGTTTCACCAATATCACCCCAAGTCCATCTTGTCAGTCTACTAAATCGATCGTATTCCAAGTCAACTCCTGCAAAGATTCCATTTCTTGGTGTCCACTTGAGTGGTCTAGCATTTCTATCATAAGTGACATTCAGAAGTTCTACTCGATCATCAATAAATACTGCTACGGTATTTGTTTCTCTGTCATATTCAAGAGACAACAGCACATCTCCATTAACTCTAAGCTTCTTACCAACTTGAGCAATCATTTTAGCATTACCACGATTCTTTCCAGCAACTTTGCGCAAAAAGTAACGCCATTCAAAGCGATTTGCTAAATCTCCAGCAACTTCAGTTCTTTGTTTGGATGGTACTGGATAACTTTCACCTAAAAGTGGTTCAATTTCTCCAAGAACAGCATAGGGAAGAGTATCAGTGCTAATTGTATGAGCCCATGAAGTAACGAATCCAACTGATCCATCACCAGAAACTGTTGTACGTTGCTCAGCTTCACCAATTTTCGTTATTACGCTACTTCCTTTGATCAACATTGAAATTGGCTTTCGGTTATTCTGGCCAACTTTTACCGTAGCACCTTTGACACTCAAATCAAACGTGAGATCAATGACCTTACCAGTTGGTGTTACCGCACTAGTCAATCTTCCAAATTCATCATAGTTATAAACGTAACTCCTACCAGTGCTGTCTAATTTCGTTTTCAGTAATCCAGTGACGCCATGATAGTCAAAGGTAACGTTGTAATTATCAGGTGTGCTTAATTCATGTAACATTTTCAACCGTGACATTCGGAGTCTACATTTCTGGCCTTTTGTGTTTTCAATAGAATTCACTTGGCTGCTGTAATCACGTAACAAAAAGACCTTGTTTCCACTTGCATCAGTGACAGTACTAAGTTTGCCATTACTTGTGTTAACATTGTAAGTAAAAACGTAGAAAGTTTCACCAGTTAGAATATTCTTTGTTGTGATATGCTGACCAAATCGATTAAAGATGTAAATTTCTTGAGTATCTGGTGAATAGATTTCATATTCTCTAGCTCCGCTAGCATCAGGAATTGACGCCATGACAGATCGAATGCGATAATTCGCTTGATCACCGATATGAACAACACCATCTGGAGAAACAGTCACGGCTGATATGGTATTGAATTTTGATGTTGATGCTAGATAATGATCGGCTTCAAAGCAATCACATCCACGTTCTAGACAGTTACATTTCGACTCAGCGCCAGCAAATGGAGAAATTTTGCCGTCAGTTCCAATCACTCTCACTCTGTTGATTCGTTGAGAGTCACTTTCAGCGATGAATAAGTTGCCAGATGGTCCAAATGCAATACTCTGAGGCATGACTAAGGTGGCATGAGTGGCAAGTTCTGTGTCAAAGTTAGTGGATGGACTGGCACAGTGTAGAGGACGTCCAGCAACAACTTTAACACGTCCATCTGGAGCTAATTGAAGAACCATGTGATCATCAATGATGTGAAGAGAATTGTCAAGTGGATTAATGGCCAGTTCTGTAGGCCAACGTAAGTGTACCTCTTCAACATTTAAAGTTCCTTCACACGGAATGGGTTTCCAGTGAGACTTGTGCATGTGGTTGCCAATGACAGTCGTGATTATTCCATCACGGTCAACCATTCTAATGTTGGTTCCATCAGCGAAGTAGAGAACATTGTCAGTCGAAACAGCTACACCTTTTGGATAAGCCAATTTAGCATCTCTAGCAAGAGCTCCATCACCACAGTGAGCTTCATCACCTGGTAAACATCTTTCTCCACTGCCTACAACCGTCTCCCAGTTATGATCGGGGTCTGAGTAATCATTCGTATCACGTACTCGAATAATCTGATGAGATTCAGGGTCTGAGATGTAGAGAACTCCATCCAAAGGACTTAAGGCGATATGGTAACGGTAAGAAACTCTTGTGGCATTTAGTCGGACTACAGTTCGTACTGTTCCATCAACAAGAATCTTTCGAATTAAGTTGAAGTCTCCAACAAAGATTGATCCATCTGGAGAAGCTGCTAAAGCAACTGGAGCAAGTAGTCTTTGTTTTGATGCTTGACCATCACATTCATAACAGTCCAATGGACGTTGATGACCATCTCCCATTGTAGTAAGGATCACTCGAGGTTTTTGCTTCAAATAGATATTAGATCCATCACCTTTCTGTAAGATACCTTCATGGAAATTGTAACGGTGATGAATATCCAAGTTCCAACCACCAACTTCCGATATTGACATGTCATGGCCACTTAATTTGGTTGTCTGAACATCCCAGATGATGTCTTTGCAATCACTATACTCGTAGCCAACTTTAACCATAGCTGTCGTTACTCCGTAAACTCTTTGACGATAAACATTAAGCCTATTCCAAGCATAAGTGAATTTGATCACTGGATCAGCTTCAAAGGTTTTCTCAAAAAGTATTCCTTCAATAGTTATACGCAAGTGGATGAGATTCAGAGTAGGAGGAATCACTTCAGGCGTTAATTGAAGTTGAATGGTCGATAAATATCCAGCAGCACGTGAACTGTGGTAGACTAGATTCAAACCAGTTCCAGGAATTTGTAGACTTTCTTGGACTACTTGAGATTCCGTTAAAATGGCACTTTTATCAGGACATGCTCCTTGGAAACCATGCTTCCAAGTTGCCAATACCACAGGTTTCATCAGATCATAATCATGAGCTCCACAAGCATGTGCTACATGTATTGGTGGCTTTTCATCAACAGTACTCATCACAATTCGATCAATAATTACCACCTTAAGAAAGAAAAAAAATAAACTCTATTTAGAATATTCTTTTGATTTGTCTTTGATAATTTCTAGTCATAAAAAAAAGATATTTACCTCATTCCAAGGCACAAAAACGATGTGAGTTTGTGGTTTAAATGGCGATCGACCAAATTGAAGTGTCACAGCACCACCACCATTGACAAGTAGATCAAACCAACCATCGTCTCTTGTTAAAGTGAAACCTTCCAATGGTGTACTGGTGCTGACACGTACACCCATTAATCCTGTACCCATAGAAGTTACGACACGACCTCTTACAACAGCAGATCGGCTAAAGAAAAGAAATAATATTGATATTAATTGACTTATTAAAAATTAATAAATTACATTAACTTTATAAAAAAAAAAAAAAAGAATAAATATTCTTTCAAAAAATTCATTAAACTACATTGTAGGCGATAATAAAAATAGTTACGCAAAAAAACTAGCAAATATCTAAATTTTTCTATTAATTAATCAATTAATAATAATAATAATAATAATAAATATAACAATATTACAAATTGAATTAAAAGAAAACATTTTTTGGCTTTTAAAACATTTTGTTCAAATTTTTTTTTTTTTTTCGTTTCATTTGTTTTAAAGACGATACAGGATCATTTGTCACAATTATTTGAGTGTAACAATCAACAAGATACGTATTTTTATTTATTTTTTTCTCGTCAAAAGCTCAATACAAAACGTCACGAAACAAAAATATAGGAATTTAAAAAACAAATAAACCATGCAACAATTAACAAATTACAAACTGTTTACAATGACACATAAATGGTTTAAAGCTTTTTTTTTTTTTTTCTTTCATTACTTTGTCATAAAATATTTTATTTATTTATTTATCAAAATATATTATTATATTAAAATTATTTACAATTAAATTAATTGTAATAAATAATTTAATTAATTCGAAAATTGACAAAGTAAATAAGAAATATGATTTGACAACACACGTAAATGGAAAGCAATGAAGCTATAATTATTTAATAATAATCACTCATAACAATCATAAAGTCATCAATAATCATCATTCATTATCATCATTGGTCTTCTTGACATTCTTACCTCGTATTGAAGTGATTCCAGAATACACTGATCGAGCAGCACGGATAAAACAGATCCCAATTAAAAAAAGATCTCTTTTTTTTCGTAGGTTTTTTTTTTTTATTTAAAAAATTATTTGAAAACTAATACTTGGGAATAAATAAAACTTATTTTCTCATAATTAGGATCATACACATCAAAGCACGAAAGCTCCAATTAGACAAAAGACCAAGGATAAAATATTAAAATAAACAATTAATTAAAATTAATTAAAAATATTTTAAAGTAAAGTGATCTTTTTTGTTTTTTTTTGGTGGGGGAGGAGATAACAAATTAATTGATTAAATAATAAATATTTTTTTAAGATCCAGGGTACACTCTCACGCATACATATATACAGAAATAATATATATATATATATATATATCAATGTGTTATATTAATATATTAATATTAATAATTTGTTTACAAAAAATATTGCTTGGTTTTAAAGATTAATTAAGTATAAATAAAACAATTAATAATATTTATTATTTATAAAACATAATATATATGAGATAATAATATTAATATATTAATATAACAATATTTAAATATAAATATATAATATATATAAATATTTGGGAATGATTTTGACATGGGTCACAACAGCGCATAGTCGACAGGAAAGTAATATTTATGTATCGTCTTATTATTTTTTTTTTTTTTTTTAATAAATAAATGATTTAATGAATAAAATATTCAACTAATTGATTTAATTTTTAATAAGTTATATAATATTAAAATAGTTGCCAATCAAAATAATTGGAAAAAAAATATAGCAATTTAAAAATTCTCCTAATTTTTATTTTTTAATATTCATTGATACTTTAATTAATTATTTATAATTATATAATTACTTCCCCTTTTCTTTTTTTTTTACTTTTATTTAGCAGTATTATAAAAAAAATTGTATTTATGAATAATGAGCTATTATTCAATTAAATATATTTAATTTTAAATCGTTATATTAAAAGTTAAAATAAAAAAAAAATTAGTTTTTTTTTTTTTTTAAAGAAACTCACCTTTCATTAAAGCTCTCCTGTCGTGCGTAATTCTGAAGACTACCTTCGTCAATTAAGAATTTCATTCTCTCAAAGAAAGAGGCCGTAATTGCGGGTGGCTGCTTGCGAAGTAAAACGTCAATAGGCTTTGGTGCGGAAACACATAATTGACTTCCTCTACAAGCGTAAGTTAAACAACATTCAGGATCCGCACAGTCAATTAGGCCATCTAGAATGTTTAAAAGAGAATTAATTTAAATATTTAACTTAATCAATAGGTCATATTAAATGGATATATATTTGATTAAAATTAATACCTTTATCATTATCACGACCATCATTACAATTTTGTTCAAGAAGAACACTGCAGTCTTTTCCATCCCATCCATCATAGCACTTACATTCCCATTGAGCATCATTATTAACACGACATTGACCATGTCCTGAACATGAATTGGGACAACCTTCCATCGTACAATGACGTCCATTCCATCCAGTGACACACAAACATGTACCATTTTTACATTGACCATGTTCATTACAACGTGGATCACATTGTTTGAGATTGCAAAGTTCTCCAGACCAACCAGGAAGACAATCACAGGCATTGTCAACACAGTGGCCATGTGGACCACAGTCTAGATCACATAATTCTAAAACAAAATAATCTTTATTAATTAATATTCACTTATTAATATAAATATAAATTAATAAATAAACTTGAAGTACCTTTGGAACAATCATCACCAGACCACATAGGTTCACAATGACAAGTCTGTGATTCCAAATCAAAATTACCATGTCCACTGCAGTCAGGAAGACATTGAAGAGCTTCTTTGTCCATTTGACTACAATCAGGACCCTTCCAACCTTTTTTACAAATACAAGTACCTTCTGCGCAAAATCCATGACCTGAACATGTAGGATGTGGGCAGTCCTGTTCTTCACAAAACTTTCCTTTATATCCTCGAACGCAGTTGCATTTTCCGTTGGTGCAATGCCCGTGACCATTGCAGTCCGGAACTTCACATTCATCATGGCGTAGTGAGCATTCTTTTCCTTTCCATCCAGGATTACACTGACACTCGCCATTGATATATTCTCCACGTGAACTACATAATACCGGGCAAACACTATCACTACAATCTTCACCACCAAATCCAGGATTGCATTTACAATGGCCTAATAAACATTCTCCTTTGCCGCTGCATCCATTGGGACAGTTATGAGTCATGTCTTCTGCTATTACTGCGATGAATGAAAGTTCTTGGGGATCACTGTCATCATTGTATAATGATAAAAACCAATGACCAGGTTCCATATAGTGTGTTACTTCTTTTTTAATTGAAGGCTACAACAAAAAAAAAAACAAGAAAAATAAATAATTGTTTTTTTTTTTAAATAAATGTGTAAATAAGTTTTGCATCAATATCTAAATCCAATATGAATAACAACAGCACTGTAATCCGTAGATTTATATGAAAATAATTTATTTACAAGTTGAAATAAAAAATAATAATACTTACATGAGAAGCTCGGGTATTTCTAGCTTTAAATCCACTCAGAACTTCAAGTAGATCATATTGGGTATGTGTAGGTAATGCATTTCTCCTCGCATAAACTCCTATAGACGCTCCTCTGGGAATATTATAATCGAACCGAACATAAGCAGCTTCCGATTGATAGAATTGCATATTCCAATAACTGTAAGCTGGTATTTCTTTGCTTAAATGTTGACCTAAAGCAACTTGAGCGAATGTTGTTCCATCAGGTGGAAAAGATCTTGCTGGGAATGTCCTTGCACCTGAAAAAAAATATATATAAATTATTAATAATCCAATTATGATGATTATTTAGCATCGTTATTTTAATTACAAGCATTAATTAAAAGTTATAAAATTGCTTTTGCAATCAATTTGTTAGTTTTTTTTTGCTTAATGAATGTCTTACCGATTAATTAGTGAGCCTGTAAGTAGACTGATGAGTCAAAAAAAAAAAAATATTTAAGTGTATTTATAAAGCCTTTAAGTGCATTTCATGCAAAAAAAAAAAGCCGATGAAGGAGGTGAAGAAGCTGCTGCAGAGAAGCAGAAAATCAAGACCTCACCTTCAAGAATTAGGATAGTGGGCTCAGGTGGAAGTGGGGTTGTCCCACATCGTGAACTTGTATTTGATTCAGCAGCATCAGTAGTCATCGTCAATCCTGTGACAACATCACCGTCACTTGGTGTACTCAATGTTGATGACTCTGGACTCGATGCTTTATTAATACCTAGATCATGAATTTGATCAATCTCCATATTTATTCCATTTGAATTGACATCTTCAGCAATGAAAGACGGATTATCATCATCAGAAAAAGTGTCCCATTCATCAGATGATGATTCCATACATGGACAAGAGCACTCACATTCACCACCAGCCCAAATAGGTGGTGGTGATGCTGGTGGTCTTGGTGGTGGGGGTAAAGGATCCTCTCGTGATTCCAAAGTTTGGGAATCAGCTTGTTTTAAATTATTAGCAGGATATTCTTCATCTACAGGACTCATATTAACCCAAGGAATATTGTTAGTATCAGGATCACTAGGTACTGATACTGATAGCACATAAATTGGCCGAGACCTTGATGAAGGGTCTGAGCTTGCTATTGTTACGTTGACAAGAATTCTTCGTGAATTCCCAATGTTAATTTCGTTAATTTGGACAGGCTCTGAAGGAGAATTAGGGCGAGTTATTGAATTAGAACCTGAACCATGCATGGCATGCGATAAACCAAGATCCGATGATGAAGAAGTAGGAAATGTTGATGAAAATTTCATTTCTTTAATATCATCCAACTTATTTATTGATTCTTCTAATTTTTTCTTCTCATCTTCTTTGAATTCTTCTTCACTATGAATTGGATTGTATTTAGATCTTGATTCAGATAAAGTTGCTGGCTTCTTTTGATTTAACTTCACAATCTCTAGTAGTTCTTGATCATAATTCATCACTATTGAACCTGGAAAATCATGTTGTGGCTGTTCTACATGATCTTCTAGATTTAAATCTCGGTTATCTTGAGGTTGTAATGATGTAATAACTGAATCCTCGTCTTCAAAAGGTAGTGAAGTAATTTTAAGGATTGATTGGCTCTTTGTAGATTCTTCAACAACCTTTTCAACAATTGTAGAACTTGAAGTTGCACTTGAAGAAACATCTAAAGTATTCTCACCACCCTGGAACTTGGTTTGATCATCTAAAACAGCTGGAATCTCATCTAGGATTTGAACATCATCATAAGAAACATTTGAAGTTGAACCCCTAATTTCTGTATCTTTATTCAGAGCCTGAAGATCATCAGCAATAATACTTGAAGTCTGATCTTCATCTTCTGGGAAGTAAGTTGTCTCCAATATTTTTGGTTGTTGTATTTCAGCATCATTGAGTATAATTTCTTCATCTACAGTCTCAATTGGTATTGTTTCGTCAATAATACTATCTTGCTTCTGGTAAATTACCTGATCAGTTGATGAAGGTGTTGATGTAGATGGGGTTGAAGTCGTTTCAGTTGACAATTCATCCAATGACGAAAGAGAAGATGAATAAGTGAGAGTAGAAGACAGAGTAGTTTGATAATCATGTGCAATACTACTAGATCTACTTGATATACTTGAAGATGTAGATTGCGATGATTCGCTTGAGGGTGAAGAAGTTGTAAAAAAAGTTGATTGTGTGTTATCACCAAATTTATAATTATCTGAGGAGGTTTCCTCAAGATCCAAATTAGTTGTTGAGTAAACAAAATTACCACCATCATGCTGTAGATCATGCACCAAAACCTTATCATGCAAAGTTACCAATTCTATTTCAGTACTACGGGTTTGGTGCTCATCATGCTGATTAACTGTGTCTCTACGTTTACGACTGAAAAAAATATTTTGAAGTTGATCTGGAAGATCATGATCCCTACCTCCTGATGAAGGTTGACGTGATCTACTGCCAGTTGATGATGTTGATGATGAATTTTTGGCATCTGCTGATTGCTTTGTGTCTGAATCACCCACCAAAACTGTACAGGCTTTTGTGCCTTGGTATGACCAGTTAACTGTATTGGAAGCTTAAATTAGAAATGAAAAAATTTTCTTAATTATGGGAAGGGGAATTTTATAACTTTACAAGCTCATAATAAATAATTAAATAATTTTTTTTCAAACACTAGAATAAAAGGTCTAAGTGTATTAATAAAAATTGATTGATGTATATGAGCTTTTAAAGTTAAGAGGAAGAAAATTAATGAACAACTTACCAGCTACATAAGTAAGAACAGCAGTTAGACAAAGAGATACCATAATAACAACAATTGCAATTAATTTCCAACTGCACCAGTCAATTCCTTTACGGAAATGACATCGAATACTTTGCCTCCTCATTGGAATCATTGATGGTGCATGACCGTACGGTAGTGGTACCCTGTAACATCAAATTGATGATAAATAAACCAATCTTGATTAGTTAATTAATTAATTAAATAAAAATAAATCAATTAATGCGTAAAAATGAAATGATCTAACACTAAAAGTAATGTTATAAAATACTTTGTTCAAGAGTCAAAGTGAATTGACTTGCGGCAAATGCTGAGATATTTTTCATCAAGTATACAAGCAAAAAGCTGACTAACAAAAGTGTTTACACTGGACTTGAAGCGATTCCTGTGACTTGCCAGAAGTCTAACGATAATATTTGAACGAGATAGACAGATTCCATCGTGAGTAGGAGGGAAAGTTTGCTTTTCTTCAATAGTTGACAGAAAGGAATGGATGCTGGATCTACTTAGATATTTTTTTCATTGATTTTATTCGATTAAATGACTTTCTTTTATTACTATCTATTAAAATTAATCATTTAATTCAATAAATAAATAATTAATCTTCATATTCTTATCTATAAAATTGAAAATTTAACATAGATCTTGATAAATAAAGTTAATAAACTCCAAGTTGATTATTATTTTTTTTTTAGAAAAAAACTATAAATAAAAATGTTTTTTAAATTTATTTTTGTTAATTAAGTTTAATAGATGCGGGATGATGGTGTAGAAATGAGTGCTTTGTATAAAAAAAAAACTTTTCTATTTTTCTAAAGAAAAGATAGAAAAGAAAAACCACTTAATTTTCAGAATATTAATGTTCTCTATTTTATTTATCTTTTCGACCGTTTAAAGGTATTTCAAGGGCTCTTGAATAGAAGAAAAGGACGCGACCACATGTTCAAGTGAGAGTACGGAAATTTTCACGGCAAACTTTAGTGACTTTTCAGCCAAGTCAAGAAGGGAAAGAATGACAATTCGTCTCGAGCACTATGTGCTCATTGTTCAGGGTATGAATGGATGATTCATAGGGGTGTTAGGTTCATTCTGATTCTTGAGGAGCCGGAAAAAAATGGGACGCGAGTGTAGTTAGAGTATAAGAAGCAGTATTAGAAGAAAGAAAAAAGAAGCTAAAGGTGTTGTCATGGTTAAGAATTTAATGTTTTGTGTCACTTCATGGCATTTATATTTGATTTTTGCAAGTTTTACGGTTTCTTTTTCAACTTCCAAGAGTATAGTTTACACTAGCATCATAGAGTGAAGTATAAGTAAAGACAGTTGTGAGTGGTTGATCGATCATGATGTAAGACTCATTCATCTCACCTGTCCATATTGTTCTGTAGTTCGACTTTTATTGGACTATTTCCTGTAGATTGATTTTTGTTATTATATTCATTCTTCGGAATCTCTGCAAATAAAGAAACATGAATAAATTAGATATTTAATCAACTGATATTATTCTAACTTAACATTATTATTATTATTTTAAAATATTCCCTTGAAATGAAGAAGATATTATCTTTTTATTTAAAAGGCAAATATTATCTCCAACATTTCATCAACATTAAAAGTAAAAATATTACAAAATGATTTTAATGTTTAATTTATTATTATCATTTTATAATATGATTGAAAATGAAAGAAGAATAAGAATAATAAATAATGTGGCTTCATAAGGAAATTACTAAACGGTTAAAACAGTTTTGGTAAACTTGATATATCCATCAAGACCAAGCCAACAAAAATATGAAGATTCTGTATGTAGTACTCCGTATCAAATTTCATGCGGTAAATGGAACCGCAAGAAGACCATGCAAAACAAGGCCAAGAGATATTAGCACCTATGTGTTTCTTGGTCATAATTACAGACGGAAGGAAGGGATTTCCAACCTCTTAAGTTTCGAGTTTGAGTTGGGGTTCGACTTTGACGGTCGATATATACCTCCTTCTTGAAAGGCTTTGTCTTGTGCTTCAGGACCTTTGCTCTACCATCTCTCTCTCTCTCTCTCTCTCTCTCTCTTTATAGCTATATCACGTCTATATAGCGTGGGAAGTCCAAGTAATGCCCCACTAATTGCGGGTGTGCCCTATTTGAAGAGTATGGGTAGACCATCATTATAGAATTTCCAAAGGGACGTGATTGGAGAACGTTTAGGAAACATGGATTTTTATTTTTCTTTCATTACGTTTTTTTGTCTTCATCATGGGATGTTTATGTGTGTTTTTAAATGATAACAAAAAGAAAAATATATACGTACTTGGTATATTGTAAAAATTTCCAGATGGTGTTCGTACAAGGCAAGATGGTTCTAAATCTGGATCACGATCGTGCTCACTTGTCGTATGACTTCCTGGCAGTCTTCCGTTTAAACGATTCATTGTAGGATTGCGAGGTGGCACATCGGGTGGTCCCCGTGGTGCCGAGTTGTCCAATAAACAACCTGAAAAATTCAATATTTATTTAGTATATTTATTTTAATTAAAAATAAAAAGCATCAGCATAATTAAATTCACTACTAAAACTTTATAATCTTCAGGAATATGTTTAAATATATAATTTTGGCTAAAACTAGCTTTTCATATGATATATAATCCCACCAAAAAGCCGACCACGTAATTATAAAGCTGGTAAGGCCCAAAAAAAGCCTTAATTCTTATCATCAACATCTAGAGCTGTACCACCTGGTGAAAACAAACTTTTCCACATGGTTTTTTTAATAGAAAAAAAGGGTTGGAATTGATTTCAATCATGATATGATGGACTTTTGAAAATCTTCCAAGCTTAACGTTAAGAAAGCAACCTGATCAAAGTGCTTAAGATCCTCATCAGGATTCCTTTTTTCACTCATCTTTATCTTCTATTTACAAAAGAGATGCAAAAAAAAGGAAAAAGTCGTGTAAATTGAAAAAGAAAGAATAAAACACAGAGTTACACCCATTTGTTAATATTTCGTAGAAAAATCAAGAGCATCTCCACCCTAAAATAGTGTCTCTAATAAATTCCATTAGACACGGGCCCTTACTCCCCTCCCAATACACTTCTGAACTGAAAAGTGGGCAACAAAACAAGCGAAATGGTCTGGATATTATGTTACGCATTTTGACATGGTTCTGAATGGGTGTGCGCATCCATTACGCGGCCGGGTGCGACAACAAGGTGCTCAAAAGAAAGACCAAACGGTCCCCAATACGTTATTGTGGGGCCTTAAGGCCGCCTGGGGACTTACATGTCTCTGTGGGCCCAGAAAAAAAATTTTCCTACCCCACCTTTTTTTTCGTTCTCTTCTTCAAGATTCATCCAAGCACAAATAATTCGATGCTAGCGTGATCTTATGGTGCACATTGCATCCTTTTGTACTTCAACTACACTAACCTGACACACAACATCAAAAACTCTAGAACTTTAATGTTATTCTTTCGCTACCTGAACTCTTATTCTTTTATACAAAGAAGCTTTTATTCATCAAGTTTCGGCTTATTTCGATCTCCTTTTTGCTTTGTTGATGATGGTAATGGACACTCTTGCCTCAAGTATTAGAAATAATGATATTAAAGTACTTTACAGTTGGATAATTTTGGAGTTTGTTGATTAATATGTACTTTGTTTTTTTTTTGGGAAACTTTTAGGATTTACTGATATTTTGTGTAGTGGTTGAAAAATAATATCTTGATATATTTAACCCTCTAGTTTGTTAACTCAGAAGAACTTAAGGCTTGGAGAAGAGAGCTTCGAAGGGTCTTCCAAGTCTCTTGAGAGAAAGAGATCGTTGAACCTCGTTATTTCCCTGTAATTAATATTTCATTTAAATTTTCCCTCTTCATCTCCACTCTCTTCTTCTTACCTTGCCACACTTTAACTCGACAAATAGGGCAAAAATATTGACTAAGATAAAAATTATTTAACTGATTGATCTTTGATTCATTATTTTGCTAATTATTTTTTGCAAATTTGAAGAATAAAATTTGTTGATTATTAATTTCATTTATAGCAAGAAATTTACAATTAAATGAATAATTACAAGCTAGATTTATTTTTATGTTTATTTATTAGCAATTATTCGAAATTTTTGCAATTGTTTGCTGAGGCAAAAGTAGTCATCATGTGAGTATTTATTTTACAGACATTTTGTGCTGTTGAATATAGGGGAATCAATTCCGAAAGAAAAAAAAATCTAATAATTTTTGCCAATTATTTTTGCAAATTTGCGAAATAATTTTTTTAAATATTAGTTTCATTTTCAGCAGGAAATTTCCGTTAAAATGAGTACCCACAAGCTACATTCATTATTATTCCTATTCATGAGCAATTATTGCCATTTTTTTTGCAATTATTCGGAAGTTTTCAATTTTTAATGTAAAAGTAGTCATGTGGGTACTCATTTTAACGGAAATTTCCTGTTTTTTACGATAAAGAAGTTAATTATCGAATTAAAATAAGTCTATTAAAAAAAAAGTACGAATTTATTGAGTAAATTATAATTTAAAAACGTCTTTTTTTAATATTAATCATCTCATCCATCAGTAGCAATTGGTTGACGTAATCCGGCGTTAATTCCAAGATTAACTTTGCCAGGGTGGTGCGATGGAGGAGACTATTTTTCTTAACCACATCCCTTTTTCTTTCCTGTCTCGTCCCTTTTACGTTTTTATTTTTCTCTCTTGCCTCAAAAGCGACTGAAATAAATCCGTTGAGCTGAGGCTCAAGATCGATGTGACGGCCGTCGTCGTAAGACAGAGACAGAGGCCCCCTTCGATTGAGGGTCGAACGTAGTTAGATATAAAAAGGGGGAGGGTTAGTAAGTATCGAAGGGAGAAATAGAAAAAGAAGAAGATATTAGTGCTTTTGGCAGGTCGCGGATATTGGACAGAGATCTAAAGGTCTAGGATTCGCCCTTCAGAAAGAGAGAGTTAGACACCACCCCGTTTTTCCCCATCTTTCGCCACGACTCCACCTTCTACGAGGGACTTTAACCCCTCGGAACCGTTCTGTCGCCATCGAATTCGCACAAGGGTGTGTTCAGGGGGATGAGACATTACTACCTAGTGTACAACAGCACTATACAGACTCTCTCTTCGCAATTAGATCTCAGACTCCGACGGCTTGCGACGAGCAATCGATAACCACGCACGTGTCTCTAATGAGAATACACGTAACAATGGATGTAATATTTGTAGGTCTGTTAAATAACTTTTCGGATAATAGAGGTAATATGAGAATTATGTCAAGATATTTCTTTTGTTATCTGTCACTTCTATGCTTACATAGCTTAGCCACCGTACAAAATAAATACTTTGGTTTAATTAAATCAACAATTAAATGATTATTAAAAATCCATTTTTCTTTCTTCAATCAAAATATTTTTGATAACAAATAAAATATTCGATTTAATTATTGCAATTAATTATTTAAATAATATAAATATTTTAACTGATCATAATAATTTAGTAATTAATCAATTATACAGAAATTATATTTTAATGAAGAATGAATAGTAGTTGGGATTATTTAGAAACAATAGACAATTAAGAGTAATTAAGTATTTTTAAAATCAAATATTTAATTCGTGATTATAGTTTAATAATTAATTTAATTTTTTTTTTTAAATTATTTAGCAATAAATTTAATTATAAATAATAACAAACAAAGTTTAATTAAAAATAGTTTTTTATGAGAATAAAATTTGTTGTAAATTATTTAAATAGTAAATAATAATAAAATATTTTATGAATATTTAACAGTTTTAAATAGTTAGGAATGTCAATATTAATAAAATAAATATATTTATTTTTGTTACCTCTACTTTTAACTGTACACCCCCGACTAAACTATTATGTCAACCATTTCATCTCACATTTTTATTTCATTCAAAATAAAAGAGACAAGTCTCTTTAAACCCATCAATACTAACAAACTTTCAAATATTTTTTAAGACGTCATTTTTACTCCAAAAAATTAAAACGCATTTTTATGGAATTTTTCCCTTTTTTTTATGCTCAACTTAACACACAAAAGAAAAAAGTACTAAAAAATATTTTAAAACGTGAGAATAATAAAAAAAAATTATTTATTAGTTATAAAACGAAATTTTGTAATACATTTTTAGAAAGGGGGGGGGAGAAAAAAAAATCATAGGAATGATTTTATGAAAATTTTATGTATTACAAAATAAAGTGAATGGAGTAAGAATAAAATTTTTACGACAATTCTTTGAATTATTTCGACTGTTTACTTAGAAAAAGAAAAAAAAAACCCTAGAATATTATAGTCACGTTTTTTAACAACCATCACATACATTTCCTCCTTAATTTCCACCTTTCTTTCAATGACTTAACGAAGAAAAATAACACCATTCATTGATATAACAATCAAAAATGTCACTAAAGATACTTGACTGTCATCTAACGGTATGCTAAAAATACTAGATTTCATAATTGATAAAATATTACTGTAAATATTTAATTTTTTAATCACTACTTCTATTCTCCTGTGACACATCATTTATCTTTTTCACAAAAACATCACTATTGTTATCCAAAAAACAAAAACATATTCAGATGCTTTTGTTTTGATTGGTTATGGATCATCAATAATCATTACTTTTAGTTCAGGTTCATTTGTTAGTCATAAAATTCACCAAAGTAACCTACAATTATCCCTAGAAATAATTTTTCTTCTTTGCAAGTTCATTTTTCGTAAAAGAAAACCCCTCATTTGAAGGTGATCTCCAAGAGCCATGGGAAAGTGTCGAAAATCCGGAAGTCAAATACCAAAAATTACCTGACCCTTGTTGTTAAAATTAATCGATGCCGTTTAACTTATTTCCTATGTTTCTAGAGCACTTTTAAAATCTTTTCTAAATTATTCCACGAATTACAGCATAAACTTTTTTCTCATGAGAGATTACATCAACTAGGTTAATTTCAGTAACTGTTTTTATCAAGAAATTTAAAGATTTTTCTTGATATACACTACACCCTAACACTTCTTTTTAAACTCCACTAACCTCAACGTTAACTCGTCCGTCAAATGTCTGACAGAACACTTTTTTTTTTTATTCCGCAGAATTACATTTCTTCGTACGAATTTTAACCTTTCAAATTGGAGTAAAAATTTTTTTTCTTTTTTTTTAGGTTAGTATATCAATATAATAATTATATTAAATAGCTAAATTTTTAATCACCCACCTCCACCTCCATAACAATAAGTATATTCATTATAATCAATGCAGGGACGTTTAAGTAATCCCTCGTCGGGAACGAGATCAAGTAAAGCCGTGGGGTCGCACATTTTTGTCGACTCGGACGTGTTTAGCATCAGGATATCGACATCATCCTCTTTAACTTGACGATACATATGAACTAAAACTTTACAATATTCAATACACTATTCACGAAAGACAACACAACAACTTAAGCATAGTTTTCTTTTATAAATAATAAA